TGAAACGTGATGTATTTCAATGTAAAATAGGATAAAATGCATGACGAAAACAAAAGACTTTACCTAACCTTCCAATGTTCAAGAGATGTTACTCGTTTTTTAATAGTTTTCCGTTAAAATACTGTTATATTACAATGATATTCTATTCATACTGTGCTTGATATACTACATTCACGGAAATGTAATATTTTTGCTGAAATGACGTACGTATTACAGTGGAAAGTGGGATAAAATCGTGACGAAAACAATGACTTTCGCTTTCTTTTGTTCAAGTGATGTTACCGTAATCGCTTTTCGAATGGTTTTCAGTTAAAAAATTGTTGCATCACAAGTGAATTAGGATAGAATATTATTGTAATACAACAGTTTTTTAACTGAAAACCATTCAAAAAGCGATTACGGTAACATCTTTTGAACGAAAGAAAGCGAAAGTCATTGCTTCCATCACTTTCCACTGTAATACGTAAGTCATTTCAGCAAAAATATTACATTTCCATATTCTCAGAAATAAATAGTAGTTTTGCGGAAACGTATTGTATTTCAATGTAAATTAGGATAAATTACATGAAGACAAAAGACTTTACCTAACCTTCCGATGTTCAAGATATGTTACTCGTTTTTTTAATAGTTTTCGGCTAAAATACTGTTATATTAGTGATATTCTATTCATACTGTGCTTGATATAATATATTCATGGAAATGTAATATTTTTGCAACTACAAGGCTGATAACACAAGCGTGGTTACAGCGAGACTGACTGAGTGAGGGAGCGCGGGGTGGGGTGACGACGCGCTATACGTGTGTGTGTGAGGCAGCGGGAGCGGGCGGTGTGCAGTGTTCGGTGCCGCGCGCGATTTGAATGTACTTCAGTTACTTCAATGTACAGAATATTCCTCTGGCGGGGCAATCCGCGTATTTGCGAATCCGTGAATGCTAAACCGCGTATGTGAAGGGCCGACTGTACTATGATATGGTGAAATTTAAGGCATTTTCTGGACGTGATGATACACCCGCATCAGGGCTATGCAGCCTGGGCTGCGGAGTGATTTGCTGTGTTGGTGGGTTCCACAATAAATGATTATCACATCAGAACTCACTGATGAAAATATTGTAAGAAAATAAACTAATAAAAATAACTTGCTCATGGGTTAGTCTTATATACAGTCGACCCTCGTTAAAACGGACTAATAGGGGGGGAAGGGTGTCCGTTTTAGCCGATTGTCCGAATTAACCGATTTAGGGGTTAATATTGCATTATACAGCTATGTACCGTATATGTTTATTTGAGTGCCCCGTCATAGAAGTCCGTTTTCTCTCACTTCAGCACTCCTGAGTCGTCCGTTTTCTCTTAATCTTAAAGTGCACCAGAGACTGTTATATCTTAGTAGTGACACAGAATTTGATATTGCAACTGGGGTTGCAATTGAGGCAACTTAGGTATGTCTGATTACAGTTGGGATATTCAAGATCCATTGAGAGTGATGTTTAAAGCTTCAACTGTCTTTATGGTTGGTAAAACTTGTCAAGTCTGTCAGTCTGAATGGCATGTGTGAGGCCTTGTGTTTGTACAACCGCTAAATATATAAATATATAATGTTATGATAATTATCATAAACACATAGGCATAACGAGGTTTATTACAAAGTGATGAAAAGGATATTGTACAGTAGGGGGCAGTGAAATTTTGCTCAAAGCTGCACTCTTCAGGCATTGTTCCTTATACATATCTAAGACTCCATGCCAAATTTGAAGCTGATATGTCGAGGTTTAGTCTGCCGCATTTTCTACTGAAATTTTTAAATTTACCTACAGTACTAGCCAAACAGCCGCTGTGGCGGTGCAATGTTCTGTTCAGTGTTTATCAACTTTTTTTTCATATCTCTTATTTCATTTAAGTTGTCTTGTTGCAGATGAGTATGGTGCTATGTCTATATTGATTATCAGCCTTTTCTCATTTCATTTCTCAATGTTGTGTTACTGTACTGTAATGTAGGGAAGACCGCCACTCGTGTGATGATAAAGAATGAGAAGACCGAGAAATGGAGTTCGAGGATGATGGTGAAAGATCATTATGTCATCATGGTTGAGCCTGGCAATGAATATCTCACACATGTGACTCCCAAGACTGGACACGGAAAGCAGATTGCCAAAACTATTCACGAGTTTCTGGTGGAGAAAAATCTAACCCAGCAGCCCATTGTGTGTGTTGGTTGTGATGGAACCAATGTAAATGTAGGATCAGAAAATGGAGTCATTCATCATCTTGAAATGTTACTTGGTCACCCGCTCCATTATTTCATATGTCAGCTTCACGGAAATGAGCTGCCTTTCTTCGCAGTTTTTTATCACTATGATGGTAAACCAAGTGGTCCTGAGCATTGGCGTGGTCCCATTGGAAAGCAGATCATTACTAAGGAATAACGAAGTCTCTGGTGCACTCTAAGATTAAGAGAAAGCGGAGGAGTCAGGCGTCCTGAAGTGAGAGAAAACGGACTCCCATGACGGGGCACTCAAATAAAGAGACATGGCTACATGTTTTGTGGACTACCCACTGTACAGTATTGAGCGTATCCTTTTCATCACTTTGTAATGAACCTAGCCATGCCTGTGTGTGTTTATGATATTTACCATAACATTATATATATATTTAGTGGGTCTAAATGGTCGTAAAATGGGAAAATTGGGGTTGGGTGCCTGGAACCAATTAGAATAAATCCCATAGGTTTCTGTACTTTCGGCAACGTCCATTTCGATTAACATCACATTTCCAAGAACGTATCTAGAACGTTAACCGGCGCATGACTGTACTAGACATGCTTAGATGGGGGGTAGAAACACACGGTGAGAAGAGTCAAGTCCAAGGGAGATGCCTGGGAAAGATCAAAATGTCATGTGACGTGACCCGAAGCTCTACAGTCACACGTCGCTGGATGTGACCCAAAGCCTAGGGGTTAAACAGAAAGAACTTGTCATGATATTGTTGTTTACTTCTGAGAAAGGCAAAGTACTGTGTTCCTCGGTGCTTAAACATTGGTAAATATTTGTTAAATGGCTGTGGATCCTTTTTGTTAAGAGAATATTTTTATTTTATTGTATTTTTTGTGCACTGTATTAAGGTGTGTTTTACTCAAATCTGATCTTCAGTTTTTCAGCAAAGAGTGAATTTTGTAAAAAAAAAAGCTTACTGTATTTGTAATATTTATTAATATTTTTTTCATAATCTTAGAGGATCAGTTACAAAAATCTTACCGCAGCCATTAAATGAATATTAACCCAAAAAGAACATCAAAATAAATAAAGCATTGGCAGGTATCTCAAAAATAAATAAGTAATAGTTAGGCACAGGATGTACTGTAGGTACAGCAGCCTGAATGCAAAACGATTATGTCTGTTTGTATGGCAGACTAATGCACATGTGTGGTGGGCAGACTATACAATGATAGTTACTTAGATGGCATTTCTGACAGCCCATCGGGGATTGCTACGATGTTTATTTGGTATATAATATGTACAGTATTTACAATGCACATGAGATGAGTGGATTAAATTTTAAGAAGATTTTTTATTTATATATTTTATATTTTACTGGGATTAGCCCACCCGGGTACAGGTCACTGAACCACATTGGGGCCTGGGGGCAAAAATGTAATAATAATATAATTCATAATAAACCAAATTTATAAAAAAAATAAAAATACTGTAATGAAATAGTGATCCCTCGGTTAACGGATTACCTTCCAAAAGATTCTTCACTTCGGTTAACGAGCAAACCCTCGGTTAACGAATTCCTTACGAATTTTTCCCAACATGTTTTCGCCTGCATTTGGCTGCCCACCAGCTGTAGTATTAGTCCGCCAATACAGTAATCGGTTTTAGGGCTTAAATTCCTTACCATTTTAGTAAATATCAAGAAGGTTGTACTATTCAATAATTTTAAAAGTTTTATATTAAATTTTTTAGTCATTTTAACAATTATTGAACATAATTGAAGTACAGGAAGCTAGTTTTTTGCACGCCAAACAGCCACTCAACACACCAAGCTTGGCGTCAGTTTGTTTACCGGTTCAGAGGAAGGAACATCTTGTTTGAGACTCTTCAACATAAATGCCTTTTTCTGTGTTTCCAGTCAAATTATTGGTCATTTTGAAATATATTTTACATATTGATAATATATAGGGCAGTGCAGTGTTGATTTAAAGAAAATAATCTTGAATTACACCAAGTGAACTAAAATTTTATGGGTGAAATGGCGGCATGGGGTGACTTCTCTTCCACCCCAATGCCTTCGCTTTTCCCTTCTCCTCCACCCCCATTCTAATTCCCATCATCATGATCAATCAGGAGCCTTCTACATGCACACCTCAAAGTAAGTGTACTTTACTGCATTTATTTTTAGTTTGTATGTAATTTTCGGTGACCTGGAACCAATTACCCAAAAACCCATTGAAACAATGGTTTCGGTTAACGAGCAACCTTCTGGAACGAATTGTGCTCGTTAACCGAGGGACCACTGTAATAATAATAATAATTATAAAGACATAAAAAGAAAGATAGAGAGAAACAATATATTTATGTTGTGTTGTCAAAGTAAGAGAAACAATCGAAACCCTGAAATTGTGTGTAAATAGGCAGAAATTCAGATCGGGATCTCTCATTAGACAACCCATTATGCTTCCAATATCTTCCCAGGCGGTAGTACCTCCCCGTTTGGTAGCTGCCTACTACCTGCAATGACTGAGTGGATACCTTGTTTCTCTCTAGTCCTATGGGTTGCTGGTTTGATTTGGATACTGTTCCTAATTTGTTGTTAGGAAAGGAAAGACTTTGTAGACAGTGTGTTTCCACAATCCCTAAGGGGCCATCAGATCTATGGGGTCCATTTTCAGTAATTGCAATTTGTACATGTATAATATAATTGTATACTGTATATGGTACTGTACTGTATATACAATAGTACTGTACTATAGTGATAATTTGATGACAAGGTGCTTTATTTCCAGGCTCTTGAAGATGATGGAGTTAACCCAGATGAACATGAGTTCGAGAATGTTCTTCCCACTACCCCAGCTAAACCAAACCGCAGTGAGTTACCATACTGTATTAGGATTTATTTAATGGGAAAATTTTCATTTCATCCGATTTAATGTTAGATTTTAAATTGGAAATATATCTAAATATGTCGGCTCTTCGTCAGAATAATATTGAGTGTCTCACCCCTAACAAAATATTAGATCAGTTCATCAGTGAAACTTTTTATTGAAACTTAAGAATCTGCTGATGGTGAAGGTGAAGAAGAAGTGACAAATCTCACAAATGGTGACTCAGGAAACACAAAGGAGGATGAGGAAGAGGATGACCAGGAAGAGGCCAAAGAGACAGAGGAATCCAAGGAAGATGACAGTAAGGAAGAGCAGAAGTCTGTGAAGGAAGAAAATGAAGAGGAGACTAAGGAGGAGGAGGAGGAGGAAGAGGAGAAGGTCCAGTTAGAGGAACCCAAAGGTGAGTAGGAAAGGTCAAATTAAAGCTGAATAGATGATAGTACACTGCCACAATCTTTATTATTTCTGATGGGCAAGAAAGTAGCTAGCATACCTAAAATTTTTATCCCAAATTGATCTCTATTACTGTTAAAGAGGAGAGTCCGGCTTTTGGTGTAGGTGCTTTAAATTTTGGTCGATTGTTATGATATTCATGCCATCAATCAAGAATCGTATGTACATCAATTCTAGCCCCATAACCCCCTTCTACCCTTTCCAAATTTTCAACCCTTTACACATTTTCTCATATTTATCTACATTTTCAAGGTATAATTTCTCCATTACTTCTTTCTATTTTGCCTTGAAATTGATAGTACTGTACTAAGAGATCTAGTATTGCCACTGAATTGTCCAGGGTGATATGTTTGTTTGTCTTTGGTTTTAGGAATAAAAAATTTTCAAGTTTGGTTGAAATTTTTGTGAAAATAAAAGGATTAAATATTCAACCCAAAATGAATCTTACGAGATAGAGAAATTGGAAGCTGGAGTTATGTTGAGGAAGGTTTCTTCCTGTGCTGAGTGTTTGTTTCATTGAAATTCCAGTCTTGAGTGTTGGAAAAGTTAATTTTGAGATACAGCCCTATAAAGTTTCTCAACCTTTCTCCCCTGTGTAAGTGCTCATTCTGAGCCAATTTTACATGAGTTATTGTTTTGTTGTGTATTTTTACATCTCCAACTGAACTCTAGTTATATTCTTTACGTGAGGTAGTGGAGAGGGGTGGAAGGCTGGGGCTGGGCTGCATCAGGTGCTCCCTGAGACGGCTGTTACAGTCGCTATTGTAGCGAATATTTTCTTCTTTCATCCTTTTGGATTTAGCAGTGTTCTTGGCACATGCTTCCTTTAGATGTGTTTTATGTTTTGAATGACATGAGATCCTGATATTTGAGGAGAGAAGTCTGGTACAGCAGTACAAGCGAGGTAAGATGTGCGGTGCAGCGGAGTGTATACCTCTCCTTGCCAAGGTCCGAGCCATACTGATGATACGTGCTTCTACCAGTGACCAACATTCCCCTATACTGTACTTGTCACATGTTGCCTGAAATGAATTTCTAAAGTCTTTTTTGTGCTATTTATTCCAAATTTTGGGGGAAAATATTTCACCATGATCATTCATATGTTTACCCAAGGAAGGTTGAGGGAGGGAGAAACCATACACAACTGCACAAATATTAAGAGTACAGTAAAACCTTGGTTAACCGACTTTCGGATTAACCATCAATCCCGAACCCCTAAAAAAAATTTTTTTTACGGGGATTAGCCCACCCGGGCACAGGTCACTGACCCACATCGGGGCCTGGGGGGCGATAATGTAATAATATTAATAATGATAATGCTAATAATAATAATAATAGTAATAAAGAACCATAAAGAAATGCAAAAATGAAAAAAAATCAAGAGCGAGAAACAATGTACCTGTATGTATGTATGTTGTGTTGTCAATAGTAAGAGAAACAGTTGAGACCCTGCAATTGTGTGTAAATGAGGCAGAAAGTCAGATCAGCAACTTGGGACTTGGTCACAATTTTTGTGATGACATATTTTCTTTAACTTTTCCATTTTTTATTCACGGTTTCTGTGCTGGTTCATATTTATTTACTAAAGTGGTTAATGTGTTAAAGCAAATTCTATTGAAATATGAATGGCAAATGAACAAAAATGAATAGAGGGACTTAAATGAGATAAGTTTGGGAAAGGTACTTTCAAAATGTATGTTTTATTTCCGTAGAATTTATGTACTATTAACCGACCTTTTCGATTATCCGTCGGCCCCTTCCCCCCATATGTGGTTGGTTAATTTAGGTTTTACTGTATTGCCATAAAACTCCGTCCAGGTACAGCCATAGGCAACACCTTTGCTCAGGATTGTTTTCATATATATTTTTTTTAATTTTCGTCGATCTAAGCCAGACGCTCCTCTTAAGACCTCTGGACTGGGATCATCCAGAAAGTCCGATAAAGGGCTGATAGATGAGATTTGTATTGGTGGAGTGAAGGCGAGAGGCAGACTGTGAGAGTGGCAGGGGTGACACAGGCGACGCCGGGCTGGTTGGCGAGGAGAGAGTGGATCTCGGCGTTGAACACATTGTTGTTGCCAATTATTTGGCTTTCTTTTTTGGTTTGTAAGATTTTTGATAAGACTAAAACATTTTCAATATTCTGCTTCCTTTTGTTGCTATATTCCATTGATGGGTCATAGTTGTAAATCATGTGTTAAATTTTTGGCACACCTGACTCGTGTCCTCAATTCATACCTGTACACTTAACGCCTTCTCTGTCTTCTTCATACCTTTATCTCGTATCTGATGTGTAACTTTAGCACTGTGTGGTGCACTATTAGCAACACTACACACACAAACTAAGGTACTCCGTTGTTTCCATTTTCCCGTGTGATTTTATCAAGATATATATATATATATATATATATATATATATATATATATATATATATATATATATATATATATATATATATATATATATATATATATATATTATATATATGTTATATATATATGTTATATATATATATATATATATATATATATATATATATATATATATATATATATATATATATATATATATATATATATATATATATATAATTTTATATAATATAATATATATAATATAATATAATATATATAATATAATATATATATATAATATAATATATATATATATACATATATACACATATATACACATATATATATATATATATATATATATATATATATATATATATATATATATATATATATATATATACATATACATATATGTACATACATATATATTTATATATACATATATGCACATACATACATACATACATACATATATACATACATACATATACATACATATATATTATATACATATACAGTTGTACCCCACTTAACGCTGAAGAACCCAGAGGGTCCAGTGTTATGAACTAAGTATGACAACAGAACATATGGGATTAATTCCATAGAAACCGCCCGACCCCCAAACTCCACTTTGAAAACACATAACTATGTTCTAGTAAAAATAACATCTTAATTTTATGATGGTACATGCTAATTTAAGAAATAGAAATACAGTCGCCAAGTTAATGTCCATTCAAATAATGGACTCAACTCCCTCCCCTCTCACACTACACTGCCGTCCCCTCTCTCTGAGAAATTTTTGGGGAAAAACCACTAAATTTTAATAAATAATACCTCAAACTAAAGTTAGAGATAATACAATTGACATTGCTGGATTCTTGTAAGACCAGGAATATTTTGAATATAAATGTCATATATTTTGCACAAAAGATAACATATTTACTCAAGGTAAACATTTATCTAAAATTTGTATGTCTAATGCAAAATATATGATGTTTATATTCAAAATGATCCAAATTATAAATTCAGCAATGTAAAATATATTTTTAGCCGGGTAATTTGTATGAATTTTATGAGCTAAAACAGGCAGGGGTGGCGGTGGGGCAAATCTAAAATAGCATCTCGAGCGGACACTCACGCGTATATGTGGAAAATCCGTGTTAAGTGAAAGTTCAGCTCTGTGAGAACACCATTATATGATGAAATAGATTAGAAGATGAAACATATACATACATACATATACACATACCTATACATATATACACATATATACATACATATATACATATACATATATATATATATATATATATATATATATATATATATATATATATATATATATATATATATATATATATATATATATATATATATATATTGTTTCAATGAGATTTTGGGTAATTGGTTTCAGCTCACCGAAAATTACATACAAAGTAAAAATATATGCAGTAAAGTACACTTACTTTGGGGTGTGTGTGTAGAAGGCTCCTGGTTGAAGGTGATGATGGGAAGTAGAAGTGGGGGTGGAGGAGAAGGGAGAAGAGAAGGAAGTGGGGGTGGAAGAGAAATCACCCAATGCTTCATGCCGTCATTTCACCCATAAAATTTTAAGTTCACTACGTGTAATTCAAGATTATTTTCTTTAAATCAACACTGCACTATATATTGTCAATATGTACTGTAAAAATGTAAAAATAGTTCAAGAGAGCCACAAGCAAGATATTACCTCCACTGACCAGAGATACAAACTGAAGCCTTGGTTGGTGAGTCAAGTGGCTGATTGGCACACCGAAAACTAGTTTCCTGTACTCTAATTATGTTAAATAAGTGTTAAAATGGCTAAAATTTTTAATATAAAACATGGAAAATTATTGACTAGTACAACCTTCTTGATATTTACTCAAATGGGAATGAATTTAAGCCCTAGAACCGATTACTGTATTGGCGGACTAATATTCCAGCTGGTGAGCAAGCGAAAACATGTTAACGTGATTTCGTAAGAATTTCGTTAACCGAAATGAAGATTCTTATGGAAGGTAATTCGTTAACCGAAACTTCGTTAACCGAGGGATCACTGTATACCTCTGTGTTTGCCCTTAGGACAATTATTTCTTTTACCTGTATTGTATGTGTGTGTGTAGACACACATACAAATAAATTATGGGAAAATTCTCACAAGTAATCTGAAACAGCAAAACAAAATGTAGAAAAAATGAGAGTACCCTCAAGTAATGAAGGATGAGGTACTATGGAGAGAGACAGTCTGTCAACAAGGAAGAGACCTTTACCTTTGACCCATGTGATCACCGCCTGTGACCCCACTTGGACTTACCCAACCTTAGTTAATTCTCAAATGGCCCACTGCCACAGAGCAGCTGATTCATCAAACAGACCACACCGAACTTGGCCCGTAAACTCACACAAGTTAAAATGTTTATAGTGTTGACTATTTATGCTTATTTCACCGTTTCACCATTTTGTAATTACTTACTCATAGGTGATTAAAAAATAATGAATTGTGTGGGAAGATTATTCTTTTAATAAATATTGCTTTACTCATCATATGCTGACTGCATCTACCTGAACCGCGGGCCACATAAAATAGAATTTCTCAATCACACTACGGGCTGCGGGTTGTTCATGTCTGGTATAAAGTATAGGAAGCAAGAGGAAAAGGCTAAAGTAACACAAACATGTGGAAATACTATACATTAAGTGTCTCAAAAAGATAACCAAAGAAACTGTCTTACTCTTGATATTGTTCATTAGAAGTAAAGGAGAAGACAAGTGAGGAAGAAGTTGGACAGGGTGATGAAGAGGATGCTCGCAACATGGAGGATGACTCGATCAACCTTATGCTTGAAGATGAAGACAAAATGCTTGAAGATGAAATGACTTTCAATGACTCAGAACGTATGGACCAGGTAAACTTCCAAATTGAAATTTGAGACTGTTTGAAATGTGAAAATAAGGATTGCAGGCTCATCATCAATACTAAAATTGAACATTCTTGTGCTTCAACTGACCCCCCAGTTATTTTCTAGAGTCAAAAAAACATTTAGAGTTAAAGAATGCCATCCTTATTCCTTGTTAGAAAGTATAATTATTAGTAATAATTAAAGTATGGTGGTACACTCACAGTAGAACTTCTCGAGTTTATTGGTTATTTCGCAACACATTTGTTCATTTTAATTTCCTTTAAAAATCTACCTTTGTCAGGTTTGCCAAAAAAAGACCCACTGTACCGAAGTAGACATCCTCTCAGGAAATTTATGAAAATTTCAATTGTATTAAAAATTTTTTTTTGTGTACAATCATATCATTGTTAAATCTTTTGTGGTAAAAAAAAGGGTTATATGTTTTTACAATTGTCACCTAATTTAAAAAGATACAAACTTGAGACTGGTTCTTTCAAGTCAATATTTCACTTGGACAAAATGCTTGTAAAAACTAAACTCCAATATGTTATCTATTACAAGCATTCATCTGTTTCTCTTAAGTGGTCTCACTCTTTAGATGATCCGTACATTTGTATATTTTGCATCATAAAGTGTGCTTAAATAAGGATTCTTTAAAATTTTTGCATACATAACCATCTATTTTAAGTTTGTGATCCAAAGGTCCATTAGTTTACGAAATCTGCATCTTTGCAAAGCAGTCCATCCCAATGGTGTATGAACTAGAGAGATTCTACTCTATATAGAATGCCTACTTGTGTATGATGACAGGAGGCTTTAAAAAAGTGTACTTTTTTAATTTTGGAACTAGAAAAAATTTTAGTAGTGAAGGTGCCTTATTTGAATCTCATGAACCTGTTATTTATTTTCAGGACGATTCATCAAATGCAGATGGTAAAGGTAAGCCCCCTTGCTGGGTAAACTGTATTGTATTTATTTTATTGCACTGTTTTTGTTTAATATGTTAGGATTAGTTAATTCTGGGCACAAACTGAAGGCTCACACTGTCGTGTATTGCTGAATCACCGGAGATATTAAGGCTTTACAACGCAGATGGCGATGATGGCAGGTGATATTTGGACTTAACAGGTATGTGCAAGAGATATCAAGAGCAGTGACTTCGAGAGCTCCACACACACACACACTTGTGATTTGAAGAAATTCCAGGATTCATCTTCCCAGAGAATGAAAGGACTGTTTTGGTGAAAGTGACTGGACTCCATTCCTATCACATGAATTTCCTGATGGACCTTAGCACATGACAAGATTCTGTTGTGCACCTGTGTCTGTGATTACTGCTTTGCTTCTCTTTAAGAAGATAGAAGATGATACTAGCTTTTAATTTCATGTGTGAGTCTGAAGTTTGTTGCCCATAGTTAGGGAAGTTTACTACTAAATAAAGTGCCATGAGTAGGCAGCCATTGTACTTTTTACTAGTTTTTTGTGCAAAGAAATCTCCGTCTACATAAGGAATGAACATCATATTCCAATAGCGTTATTCTCTAGGATACTCTGAGTATATTTTAGCCAGAATGAGAAGAAGGAGAGGGGGTGTGGGGGACCCAGGCCCCAAAGATGAACCGGGTACTTCAGCGGCAGCAGGAGCAGATGTGGTGGTGGGAGCACTGACAGAAGCACCAGCTTAAGTGCCTGGGAGTTGCACCTCACTCAATCACCTTACAAGACATCTTGTAGCTTCTCAGTAGTAATTTTTCAGCATGCAGTCTTGCCTGTATGTAATACAAGATGTGAATGAATAGCCAGCAGAGCAGCCCATCTATACTAGGTACAGCAGTGGTGTATGCAGTTGAATTATAGTGAGTGGAGTGTGGTCCCCGTGCCCCGTGTGGTCCCCCCACCCTCTCACACGGATGACACCGCAGTCGAGGGCAGCAGCAGCGATGATGTAGGGGTACGTCCGTTTCTTCCTGGTTCGACCTGAACCAGCTTCTCAGCGTGACTCGCTTCTGGCGCTGGATACCACCACCTGCCAGAGGGGAGCCACGACCCGTCCTGATGACTGACTCGACCCACAGAGCGATCACACACCAAGGAGGGCAGTTCCACAACCCACGCCAGCGCAGACTCCACCATGGGGAAGAAGGACACCTCCGACAACGATTCACAGGATAAGAAAGAATGCGATAAGCCCAAGAGGTTGGTTCCTCATACTGGGTTTGTATCATCAGCAGTCAGTCCTAAGCTGCTACTGAAACATGGGGCATGATCTCCCTTTGCTGTACACATCTGCTAGACCAGTTGTTAAACACACTAGTCTGTTCTTGTCACACAGGCTTGCCAACATCCTGAGACTTGTGGATGTGGGAAGCAGTTGATATAAGCCAGTATGGCTTATTTTTCCCCCTTGTGAAGTTTTTTAATTTATTAATTTTGAGTTGTATTTTCTTCCTTTCTCAGCGTTTTTGTTAAGGAGATAATTAAATTTGGGACATAAACAATTGAAAAGGGTAGCATATTAATATGTGGATGTAGCTTCTATTTAGGCGGTAAAAGGGAGTAAAGTGTAGAATTCATGCCTGTAATGTACGGAGGTTTGGGTATGGGTGGCCATTAGATTTGGTTTTAAAGGGTTCTTGTATTCTTTAGTGGATCTAATGGGGTAAAGTTGTAGGTAATACTAACATATAGTTGGTATATTTTTGTTCAGCATATAACCCATTGTGGTAAATCACTGAAAAAAAAAATATACATTTTGAAACGTTTTCCGTAAACCAATTCAGCATTATGATGATACAGTATGCAGAAAACCAAATTTTGAACAGGGCATGTATTGCCATTCTACCAAGTGAGTTGTAAAGTCTGGACAGTGGGAGGATCTGTCATTGACAACTAGTCCGCAAAGTGTGCATGCGAGTATGCAGTGGCTTGGAGGATATATTGAAAAGGAAACTAGCCTTTCTGAGATGGTATCTGAATTGTATTTTTGTGAAAATAAGTATTATACTTAAGCCCCTTTGCTTCTTTATTAAGAAATTATCATGGTAGTAAGATCTTTGCATAATATTTGGAGGTTATAATGAAAGTAAAACTTTGCATTGTATTGGAGATTATCATGGAAGTAAGACTTTTGCATTATTCTTAAAACTTTTATGGAAGTAAGTTTTGAATACAATATTATGAAACTTCAGTTTAAGTAAAAAAAAAAAAGCTTTAATAGGACAGTATTGATTGATGCTGAACACAGGTTAGTGAATATATATTGATTTTTTATTTTTCCAATGTTCTCTACAGCACTGGGGAGGAAAAGGGGAAAGATGACAAGCCAAAGGATGACAAGGGTAAGTTATTCTTGATGTATTGTCTTTATTAGTTTTACCCTCCATTCATGTACCCTCTTTATTTTGTGGAATATACCAGTATTAAAGCATTCAGTAAGTAGAGTTAGAATAGTCACTACCAGAATATCATGGAAATTCGTTTTGCATTAAAAAATTGGAGTCAAAATAGCTGGTAGGATTTTGAAGGTGTTTGACATTATTGAATATTGATGCTTTGTAAAAGTGCCATCATTTGTTAGTTGTGGGAATGAAGAGTTTTAATTCAGTAATGTTTACTGTTTTAGATCACAAGAACAAGAGTAGCAGTGGGAGCAGTAGCAGCAGTAGTGGAAGGAACCTGTGGGTCAGTGGCCTGGCCTCCTCAACAAGGGCACAGGATCTCAAGTCTGTTTTCTCCAAGTATGGCAAGGTAAGCCTTTTTCCTCTCCATTAGTTAATGAGAAGTGTGTTGCCCTTTGTTTATGAACCGTGTATTGCGGCTTATGTGCGACCTGGTGTATAAGACAACCTCAATTATTTCAGCTGAAATTGATGATCTAGGCTTACTCCTGGAAGGTAAGTCAACCCCCAAACTGCTGAGTTAAGTAACAGTTAACATATTTTATGGCGTATCAGACACTTTTTCTGAAAAAAAAAAGCTTTAAAAAATCGGCCTGCGTCATATACTGTTGGTGAAGTTGCGGTCTTCCGTAGGCTAATGAATCGTCCAGTATGCTAAATTCTACCTACACATTATATATTTTTTTCTTGGTTAAAAAAATATTGTTGCAAATATAAAAGCTGGATTTATAACTTCGACCCTCGTTAATTCGGACTAATAGGGGGGGAAGGGTGTCCATTTTAGCCGATTGTCCGAATTAACCGATTTAGGGGTTAATATTGCATAATAATGCATTAAACAGCTATGTGTGTGTTTATTTGAGTGCCCCGTCATAGGAGTCTGTTTTCTCTCTTCAGGACGCCTGAGTCGTCCGTTTTCTCTTAATCTTAGAGTGCACCAGAGACTTCATTATTCCTTAGAAGTGACACAGAATTTGATATTGCAACTGGGGTTGCAATTGTTGAGGCAACTTAGGTATGTCTGATGACAGTTGGAATATTCAAGATCCATTGTGAGTGAAGTTTAAAGCTTCACCTATCTTTATGGTTGGTAAAACTTGTCAAGTCTGTCAGTCTGAGTGGCATGTGTGAGGCCTTGTGTTTGTACAACCGCTAAATATGTAAATATATAATGTTATGGTAATTATCAGAAACACACATAGGCCTGACTAGTTTTATTACAAAGTGATGAAAAGGATACTGTACAGTGGGTAGTCCACAAAACATGTAGCCATGTCTCTTTATTTGAGTGCCCTGTCATAGGAGTCCGTTTTCTCTCACTTCAAGACGCCTGAGTCGTCCGTTTTCTCTTAATCTTAGAGTGCACCAGAGACTTCATTATTCCTTAGAAGTGACAGAATTTGAAATTGCAACTGGGACAATCCCAGAACCAGAAATTTGATATGGACAGTTCAGATTTCGTCCGAATTATCCGAAATCCTGATTAAAGGGGTCCAAATTAACGAGGGTCGACTGTACTGTACTGATTAAAACCCGAGACGAAACGATTAACATCCCTATGGCAGGCACCCAACTCTTCAGAGGTAGATAAGCAGTAACTGTTTCAAAATTACTTCAAATAACTGATACAAATGAAAATTTACAGATAACTTTGTTTTCACATTTGCATCTGTTAACATCGCTGACAGCATTGTAGCCAAGTTAGACTCGCCATTGTAACTACCAGGCTACTGGGTCAAGGTGTGAGGTATAGTGGTCGTTTTTCAACTCGTATTTTTGGGTAGATCTTTGTAACTTTATTTTTACTAGGCTACATGCACACACCATCCTACATGCATGTTGTGAAAAAAAAAGTAAAAAAAAAATAGTCATAAGGAAGGTGTGTGGGAGGAGCAAGCGTTGCTAGGGAGTCGGCTGAAGTAGTGTCCTTATTGGTCTGCTTTGCTATGGCAAAGCATAGTGTATGTAAATGGCAATTTTTTTAAACACATAAAGGGAATATAAATTTCTTTGTACACAAGTAAAAATGTACCCTTCCCCTGGTCAACAAATGTTATTCGTGGATTTGGCGATTCGCGTCCACTTTGAGAACCTAACCCCTGTGAATTTGAAGGTCATGCTGTACAGCAAGTTCTCCCTTAACGTTGGGGTTATGTTCCTGAAAATGCGACGTTATACGAAACAACGTTAAGCGTATTAATTTTCCCCAAAATAGATAGATAAAATACGGGAGTTACGTTCCTGGGCCTCCCTTTGCCCTATGAACTACATTACATATACCAAGATTATCATTGCCATTTCTATAGAAAATAGTGCTTGCATATACAACTACTAAGATTGTATGGGTACCTACTGATGGGGGAGGTGGTAGAGCGAGTGTATGGTGGGTAGTGAAGCGGAGGAGACGGATGGCGGGAGCAGAGGAGGTGAGTGGTAGCGGAGGAGGGTAGTGAGTCACTTGAGACTGCGGCTGCCTCCTCCTCCTGCGTTGATGGGTTCCTCTGTTGATGTATGCTCCTCTTTCGTTGTTGTTTGCTCCTCCTCGGCTGCTGGCTATTGTGAAGATGCTGCTGCTGCTTCTGTCGTCCCGCGACAAAAAAATAAATAAATTAGGTGTTGACTGCTTGGTGCTACTCTTCTTATTCATATCAGTGTAACAACCAAGACTGTCATCAATTCTGCGTCGAATCTTTGAGCTACGTTCTCTGTTTGGTCGTCATCTGCAAGGATTTGCATTTCTTGCTGGGTCATGTTGAACGCTTCTGCTATCCTCTTGGTAGTTAAGCGTTCTTTGAGGTTTGTTTTCGTCTTCAATGGGACTGTGTTCTGTTATTTGTTTCAAATCCTCATTGGTGAGCTCTTCTGTATGGGATGCCAGGACGTCCTCAATATCCTCAGATTTCAGCTCATTAAAGCCTGCCTCTTTAGCCAAGCTGAGGATAACCCTATTCTCTGCTGGGGACTAAGTCCGTGAATCCCGTAAAACTGTTGACGCACTCGGGCTACAATTTACGCCACACACCATTCAGGCAACTTTCTGAAACCTCTTCCCATGCCTTGCCAATGTTGTCAATTGCATGAAGAATGTTGAAGCCACATCAATATTTTTGATCGTAGTTTTATTATCTCCGTCTGTAGCCTTGATCAGCTGGGCCATGGTACGGTGTAAATAATATGCCTTGAATGCGGCAATGGAGCCTTGGTCCATAGGCTGCATCAGTGCTGTTGCATTGGGAGGCAGGAATACAACTTTTACACTTGTGCAAGTCGTCGAGATTGGGAGGATGAGGTGGAGCATTGTCAAGGATCAGAAGAATTTTGAAGTCAAGGTTCTCCTTGGCACAGTATTCCTTCATTGTAGGGACGTCATACACGTTTAACCACTGGCTAAATATGGCGCCGGTTATCCATGCCTTCTTGTTTTCCTTGTAGATCACTGAAAGGTGATTCTTGGAGTAACCTTTCAGAGCCCGTGGGTTAGCTGCACGAGAAATCAGCATAGGCTTAAGCTTGAAGTCGCCGGCAGCGTTCGTGCCGAGCAGCAGCATCATCAAGCGGTCTTTTGCCGCTTTAAAACCTGGCGCTCTTTTCTCCTCCTTGGACATACAGGTCCTCTCAGGCATCCTCTTCCAAAAGAGACCAGTCTCATCCACATTGAAGGCTTGCTTCTATGAGTAGCCTCCTTCCTGGATAATCCGTTTGAATTCTGACGGGAATGTCTCGGCAGCAACCGTATCTGAACTGGCAGCTTCACCAGTCATATTAATATTGTGTAAGTTATAACGACACTTAAATCGGTGAAACCATCCTCGGCTGGCCGTAAAGGTCTCTTCCTTCGATCTTTCACCCTCTTCTACCTTTAAGTAGTCAAACAAGGATCTGGCCTTATGCTGGATAACCATAAGGCTCACAGGGGCATTGCATTGATTCTGGTCCTCCATCCACATTGCCAGCATCTTTTCCACCTTTTCTATCACAGTGCTTCTAGTAAAAGTTGTCTTAGTTGCACTCACAAAAGACCCACCTCCAGCACTGACCATAATCTTGTCAGCGTTGGTCCGGATAGTACGCACCGTTGTGGGGGGTTAGACCAAGCACAGCGGCTATGTCCACAGCACATTCCCCTTTTTCAAAATGGGCTAATACATCCAATTTCGTAGCCAGGGTAATGGTCTTACGTTGCCTCTTCACTACACTAGCATCAGTAGCACTTGATGGGTGCTTGGAAGTCATTTTAAATGGTTAGAGTACAGTTTTAGAGCAAAAGCACTTAAGCACACACCAATGATGTGAAGTCGTAACAAAGACTAGCTCGGCGTCGCTTGGGGACGCTGTGTCGTTCTGCGAGTGAGAGCAGTGCGCCGAACCGAGAGAGCGTAGCCAGACAAGAGCGGGTGATGCGCCGTAGAAAGTAGTCCATGATGTCGCAAAACAACGTAGTGTCCGATCGCCTGGACGTTAAAAAAAATTTGGGTCTAGAAAGCTCAGCGACGTACCGACACAACGTTAAGCAGGACATACTGTATTGTATATATTCGTGTGTTTGTGTATAGACCAGTGGTTCTCAACCTTTTTCACTCCATTCCCCCCTTGAGGAATTTTCAACATCCTTGTGGTCTCCTTCATTTTTCTCCCAGAACAGACAGACAAGTGATAAAGACTAAAGAATGATAAAGGACAGATAAATAGGACAAGAGTTAGAAGAGCAAACACACTCACACACACACACACACACACACACACACAGAGAGAGAGAGAGAGAGAGAGAGTTGGGGTTAACACTTACGTAAGTAGAAGAGATGAGTCGGTGTAGGGGAATGGAGGCTGGTTCCGAGGCAGAGGGCAGGCTACTGGCCCTCAGGTGAGTCTTCATCGGTGTCATCCACACTTACTAGTGCCGCCCTGACAAATCCCTCAGTCATCATCACTGTCTCTGCCTCTGTCACTATCACTAGCTTAGGCTGGCTGTGGTGGGTTGCGGGTGAAGAACTGTTTTGCTTTGCTGACGGCTGGTGTTTATGTTGTCGTGATAAACCTTGATGTAGGGCTCCATAGTCTGCAACAGCTGGGTAGTGAAGATTTCATACCTGTTAGCGTCAGGGTTGTCGGAAAGGAGGAGCTTGACTTTCTCAATGCACTCGATGGCACCCCTTACATTACTATGGGATAAGCGGGTTTCTTCTTGGGATGACGCACCACCTGCCTCTTCACTGACGTCATCATAATCTACCATCTCGTCGGTAGTCACATCAGGATCCCTTATCACCTCCAGGATGTCGTCGTTGGTGGTCTTGGAGAAGCCTGCAGCTGTAACACTGCGTAGCTTCTCTGGCAAGGTCCATTGCTACT